CCTGTGTTTTGTTTCGTCAATAAATTATTATTATTCTTTCTAGTATACTATTATTATATTACAGTTAAACAAAAATAAAGGTTAAATTGGCATGGTTTTCTGGAAAAAATGGCTTTCTTTGTTTTCTAAAACACTGCATCTCCGTATTGCATGTAAAATGTTTTAAATCATTGTACAAAATAGTGAAGAAGTCCTATATTGATGAATTTTGTCATTCACACATACTGTATTTTATTTATTTATTTATTTATTTATTTATTTATTTATTTATTTATTTATTTATTTATTTATTTATTTATTTATTTCTCATTCAGACATCAGATAGTGATTCTGGTGTGAAAGAACTAACCATTGGAGCAACACAATACTCTGTTGGTGAATTTGTTTATGTTGAACCAAGGTATGTTGACACAACAACAACAGCATTGAACATAACATCAACAACAAAAACAACTGATAATTGTTTCATTACTTTTCTAACACACATTGAAATATTAGGTAGAATAGGATGAATGACAGACCGAATATATTCATTCTAGTTGATATTCAACATCGAATAGAATAGGAGATTACATAGAGCAATATTTCGGTTTTATTGCAAAACCATCATCAGGCTAATAGTTACAAAAGCGCAAAGACAATACAATATATATACTAGATAGATGAATTAATTAAACAAAGTTCATTCTCTATTCTACCTAAAACTGTCAGCTTGTCCTGAATTTTGAAATATTAGGGCTACGGAAAATTCTAACTGTAGTTAATATTTAATCATATTCATGTTAAGAATGATAAATTGACTCATGTTAGTTTCTTGACATTTTAGAGAGGATAAACTTCAACCTCATGTTGTTCTTATTGAAAAACTATGGACAGACACATCAGGGGAGAAGGTAAGCCACTCAAAATTATTTTCMTTCTTCTACTCAAACAATGTGTCATTTACTAGCTATCTATAACTTCACCATATTACAAAATAAGAAACCTTTGGTTTACAATTTGAAGTAAATAATGCATTCTACCTGTAATTGTATTAAAAGAGTAAGTTCACAATTGAAAAGAAAGTTTTCACTCAAGTTTACTCATAACATTATTTCAAATTTTTTATAACATTGTTGTTCCTGTAAAGAATTCATATTTTGAGGAAATGATGATGTAATTTGCGTCATAGGGTGTGGTCAGTGACGGTTGCCTGCCGTCATATACTGCTACATATCTGTGAAGACAGCATACTCATTACTGATCCTTATTTATGTTGTCTTATGCCTGCCTTCGGTGAAATATAACCAAAATATCTCAACTGTTAGAAATTGTGAGAACTTCACTCACTAAAACCGATAACAATGATTTATTCACTCATAACATAAACCAAAATAACTGTTTTTGCATGCTTTGCTTCTCAAAACTAGTTTTGGCAGAGGAGAGGAGAAACCCATGGAGCAATGGGGAGTTATTTGCTTTCAAATTAATTATCAAATCATTTGTTTTAGTGGCTGTTTGGTAACTGGTACTACAGGCCTGAAGAAACTTTTCATCTCGCCACAAGAAAATTTCTTCAGAAAGTAAGTTATTTTGAATGGTTTAGATTATTTTATCAAATTGATTTTAGGTAATACACAGAGCTACTATCATGCAAAAATTGATGAAGGCTGTCTAGTTTTTGATGTATCCACCTAAAATACAATGATTGCATTCTTTATAGTGTCCACTACAGTATGTATTATTAGGAATAATATTGGCAAACTATATTATTTTTATGTTTTAGTAAATATTCATATMTTTTGTTTATATTTAGGAAGTTTTCAAAAGTGATTACTCCTCTCCGTGTAAGCTTAGTAAGGTGCTTGGAAAGTGTTATGTCATGACTGTGAAAGACTACTTCAAGCTAAAACCAGAGGTATGGATTGTTTAAACTTGCAGTCATTATTTCAGAAAACAGTATGTTTCTTAATATTTGTCCTGGCTTGCGTTTTGGTTTTAGGGATTTGACGATGACAATGTTTATGTCTGTGAGTCGAGGTACTCTGTGCGAACAAAGTCATTCAAAAAGATCAAGGTAAAATTCTTATTTTAATGTTATTGTTTGTAATTTAAAATATTATCATTTTTAATGTAAAATATTATTTTCAAGTATTTGTTAAATTGTATTTTTTACAGATGTGGCCATCGCAAAATACCAACGTAACCATGGTTGCACGAGAAGTGGTTTTGACACCCAAAAGAGTCCCATCAGTCTTTGCACCAAATGATGAGCAGAAAACTGTTGCCATGGATACTGATGACATTGAAGACTTAGAAACAGATGCTAAAAAGGTAAATATTATATAATATAACAGATATGGAAGTTATTGACTATAGTGAGTGTAAACCAGTTCTTTGTATTATCTATTGCTTACCATTCATCTAGATCTTCCAYGTTTGCCCAAATTTTGAAAATAAAAATCTAACTGGCCAGAGTCCTGTATTTCTGAAGTTATTTCCTGRTGAAACAACCATTTTAAATGATATTTACAAGTTCAGTTACTTGCAGAGGTAGCAGGCATTGAGACGTCTTGAAGATCTCCACCCCTGTTGTATCTTGGTTGCTTAGCCAGTGAATTATTGGATAAATGTTGCCTGAATTAACTTTGATCTRATGTGTTTCTTTGTTTTAGAATGTTCCTCTAGATAACAACCCCAATCCCAATGATGGAAGTGTACAATTTGAACAGATTTGTTTGGGGGAAATTCCTTACAAATTGGGTAAAAAAATATTTAGATGATCTTATTATCAATATAATTATACTCTAAATGTTTCTTGATTATCCATTTATTTATCGATTCCATCTATCTCTTCATTCAATTATCCCATAAATCTTGCATGTATTTCTTGAMTTGTCTCATTTATTTATTCTTTCATTGATTATTTTCAGGTGACTGTGTTTATGTACGATCAGATGAGGACTACCTATATATCGCAAGAATTGACCGCTTGTGGTCCGACAGAAAGTAATACTTARTTTATAATTACTTTWATGTTAAATTRATAATWATKTTTAAACAWTGAACWGGAATGWAATGTGTTATTAGTGGTAATACAYGTAGGCAYGTCATTGGATAAGAGTTCATATMCTAGTAGTAGAGTAGCCAATTATASCCTGATATAGCTCATATCCGTCAGTTGTCACTAATTATTACAGCTGTATATTGAGATTTTGGTGACCTATAAATAACATGGTAACATTGGTAATACATGTAGGCATGTCATGGGATATAAGTTCATATCCTTGTAGTAAAGTAGCCAATCAGAACCTGATATTGCCGATATCTATTAGTTTTGTCAATAGTTACAGCAGAATATGGACCAAGGTGTTTTTGAACTAAATAATATCAAAGATATTTTGTGTTTTCAGTGGTAATACATGTAGGCATGTTATGGGATATGAGTTCATATCCTAGCCGTAGAGTAGCCAATCAGAACCTGATATTGTTCATATCCATTAGTTTTGTCAATAGTTACAGCAGAATATAGACCAAGGTGTTTTTGAACTAAATAATATCAAGATATTTTGTGTTTTCAGTGGTAATACATGTAGGCATGTCATGGGATATGAGTTCATATCCTAGCCGTAGAGTAGCCAATCAGAACCTGATATTGTTCATATCCATTAGTTTTGTCAATAGTTACAGC